TTGAAACTCCTTATAAAAATGGAAATTAAATTATATTTTCTATTCTGAATTCAAAATTGTGTTCAAATATTATTATTATTTATTATTTTTTTATATATTAAAGTACTCTATAAGATTTATTGCCCATCTTTGTGTTAATATTTCTTTCAAACAATTTGTATTTACAATATATATAGTCAAAATCGATTTAGAAGAATAATTTTATAAAGCAATATTGCGAAGTAAACATATTCATCTTCTGTATCTAACGTTCTGTGATTATAGGAATTATTTTATATACTTTTCATATAAATATTTCAAACTTTCTAATAAACAAAACACATTATAATAAATTTTTCAATCTGTAATCATCCATAAAAAATTATCTAGCGAATAAAATTGCAATTTTTTTTATTAAATATGATATTAGAATTTATCAATTTTGCACTTTTACAAAAAAATTATTATTATTATTAATGTATAAAATTCATTTTTCTAAGTTTAATTTTGTAGTAATTGCGAAGAGTTGCAATGTTTTATAACAGAAACTCAATAACCTTTAAGAAATATTTTTATTGTTTTATGACAAAGAATCGTAACTTTACCATCATTATTTATTAATCTGGTTATAAAAATATACTTTAAGAAAAATAATTCATTTATCTAATTTAAAAATAAAAGAAATTTAAGAATAAATATTTGAAATTTCATGCAGAAAAAAATATTTTGTAATCTGACACTTATGTTGGCACAATTGTCTTTGAACGGCGGCTCCTACCATGTCAAAACGGATATAAATAATTTTTATTGAAAAGAAATATGATACGTAATTTATATCCTGTCTTTATATACCGACCAATCCTTCATGGATAATGGGGTCACAGTAATGCTGTTATGCAATATGTATAACTGAAATACATTTCTCTATCGTATAGATTTTATCCAAATGGTAATATATAGGTGATAACAAAAAGTGTTGATGCATAAGTTAAAATTTTCTTCCATGTTTTTATGACTCATCTTTAATCGTTAGTAATTAAATTTTCCACGCATCCGAAGTGAAAATAACAGCTTCTAGAAGTGATTAGCTTCAGTTAAGGAACGAGTTACTTCCAGAAGGTTTTTTTTTGCTATAAAAATCATACAGCGAAAACTTTGATTATAGCAAACCGACCAATGAAAAAAATCTTCTTATTCTTACATGTAATTTAAGCAGAAAAGCTAGATGACCTTTATTTCATTACACACAAAACCGACACCTGCTACTTCTTATACGAAGAGATTTTAATTAGTTTGACAAAAAAATAAAATAAAATTAGTGAAAAAAAATAATCGAATTTTTTTCTTATATAAAACCAACAAGAAGAAGAAGAAAAAAAAATACTAATTCAGATAAACAAATTAACAATTATTTTCAATTCGAAATCTCAAAAAATTTGAAATCTTACACAAAACTACTCCAAATAAGCGATGTAATTGGAAATGACAGAATCGATCCGATAAAATTTTCTTGTCTGAAATTGTCTTGATCAAATTTATAAAACCTGTTTGCTTTTGTATGTAATTTAATAAAAATTTAATTGAATAAAAATGTATTAGAAAAAAATAATAATAAATAAATTTCCAAATGAAAATTGAAATTATAATAACTGAAGTGTGTATTAACTGAGTTAATTTGGAAAAGTAATTCGTAAAATCACTAAAGGAGCAAATACAATTTTTGTTAATTGATTTAATAAATTGTATATTTAAAAATTTCTACTAACGACATTAAAAATGAAGTAAATCAAATTAATAAAAGTTAATAATAAACAGAACAATTAATATATATATATATTTTTTTTTGTATATACTTGTCGATTTTTTAAAATGTCGATTGATTTATTCATAAATAAAAATTGTAATATTTTTTTTTGTATTTTTTTTATCATCACATGTTTATTTTATTATTTATTTATGATTTTATTTTTTTTTTGTCTACTCCATTATAAAAAATGAAATTTCATAAAATGTCAGGAAATTTTTGAAAGTGCAGTAAATTTGGGATTTACGAGACATTCCTTAAGATTACTCTAAAGGTGGGCATTTGTAATATTTAAAGGTAACAGCTGTTTCGATCGTACTTCCATTATGTAGATATGTAAGTCCCTATGAATAAATGTAATAAATAAGAGAATTGCTGATGTTATATTTGTCTAGACGAAAAGAAAATAATGCAAATGAATTATTGTTGATTTTTAAATAATGATACAGTACATTTTCTACTTAAAAAAAGGGGGATTATAAATTGATGAAAAACTTTCGCTACTAAAAAT